CTCTTTGGGGCATTTCCCCACCGATGCCCGCTGTCCCAGCAAGGCACTCTGCATCCCCCAGCTGCCCCCGTTTCACACTGCCAGCAGCCCTGGGCTCCCCCAGAGCTGGGCTACCCTCTGCCTGCCCAGGAGCTGCCAAACACAGAGAGGAGCAGCAAGGAGACAGATTAAAGGCATCAATGCCAGCCACAAACGTGGCTGTTTCTTTTCCAGGGATCTCCTGTCCAGGCCCCATAGCAATGTTCAGCACCCTGAGGGTGGCACATCCAAACTGGCGTGTGAGGGCTAAGGGCCCTTTAAAGCTGTGGAAAATCGTGACAGCACCTGTTTGCAGAGATTTATTTCATGTGGGTGCAATGCCTCATCCTTAAATCTAATCTAAGGGAGAAGGTGTAGGAAGAATTCCAACTAATTTCATTAATTCCAGATCAGGGGCTGAAAAAAACCCACTCAAACAAAATTCCGAAGCTCTTGAATTTGAAAAAACACCCAACTTTTTTCTCCCTTTCCCACATTAAGGCTAGAAGGTTGGGTTGAGACTGGAGCCATTATTTGGATTTGAAAGATTACCCTTCAAAAATACCTGTTCAGTCAAGTGCTGAGAACTGGAAAAACAGAGCTGGCTAAACACAGGTTAGAGTCAGAGTGATGTCCAGGGGAATTGCTCAGCTCTGGAGTAAGCACAGCACAGCAAACCACTTGTGCAGAACAGAAATTAACCTCGGGCTGGTTTCCATGAGCTTTAGGGGGATTCCTTGTGCACACAGCAGCATCACCCACTCCAGGGGTACCACTACAGTCTGGTGCAGGCTGAGCAGACCCTCCACAGCCTGGCAGAAACCCCGGCCCCACTGAAGCCAGCCACACCTGCACAGGTTCAATCAGGAGGATTTTATGTCTCCTACTCGAATGTGAAATAAAAACAAAGGGCTCCACTCTGTCCTGCCACTCTCACTCTCCCCGTGTCAGTCAGAGCTGCCTTGTTTGCTGCCACAGCTCCTGCCTTTGGAAAGGAGCACTCTCAGGTGCACACACCCACCCTTGCTCCAGGCCACTGCGTATTTTCCAGCTTAGCAGGTTATCCGGACGTGTGAGAATGTAAAGCAAAGGCCCCAGTGGCTGCATGTCCTGCAACAGCTGCAGGGACAGCAGGGACAGGGACACCGCGACCCCTCCACGTGCCAAGAGCCCTCACACGCCAGCAGCCTGACCTTCAAAACCTGCTGTCCTTGTTAAAAGTCACCGTACAGCACGACACTGCCTCTCCTTTCCAACAAGGGCTGCCCGGTGTTCGAAATGCCGATTTTGGTGCTTTCTGAGCAGCGGTGCCCTGCGCTCAGCGCCCATCGCTCACTCGCAGCTCCTGTGCCGCCAGCCCGCTCAGAGCGAGCCTCCCCACCCTGCAGACATTTCAGTACCGCTCCTGCTGCTGTTCAGACCCTCAATGCGTGTATCTGGTTTCCAATAGTACTCGGGAAAGGTTAGAGTTTGTTTTAAATAGCTCAGCCATCTGTCCTGCGCTGCCTGATGGGAGCTGCAGGCACCCGAGCAGCCACAACAGAATTTTTCAAACTGTCACTTTCTCATTACAAACATTTCAGCTTGAAACAGACCCGTGTCCTTAAAAAGAAAGTTAAGCCTATATATTTCTTGTGCATTATACAAACACTGTGAGTCGTGCTTTAGCAGTTTCCTCGTGTTGTTGAAATTTCATCAATGCAAATATTGGGCCTGAACCTCAGCAGCACCAGGCACTTTGCAAACCTCATTTGTGTATTCTGAGGCTTTGAACTAAAAATTACTTATTACAAGCACGACACAGAATCAAGAACCAAAACAGCAGCAAGGAAAACACTTCATGAATGGAAATCAGGCACATGGACCGACATCAGTTCCTAAATGTCAGCTGAAGCCCTGGGTTCACCTATTCTAGAAAGTTAAATCAATTTATTCACTTCATTCACAGGATTCACTTTCATAACTAAACGTTAATTTTGAGGGAAATGAGTTGAGAGCACACAGGCCAGCTATGTGCAGCAGCTGATACCCACAATTGCTAATACGCTGCTGAAAAAATAAAAATGTATGAGAAGCAAGCAGTGTTTCCTTAGGCAAATGCTGCTCCGCATCACACAACCAAGCATGGCCTGGCTGGCACCTACCCCATCATGAAAATGCTGATTGTGCCCCTAGCACTGCCCTGGAAAACCCCTAGGAGTATCCAAGGAGATGAGAGAGACAACAAATATATATTAATCAGAACAACATACCAAAGTTTATTGATTACTTCAAACAAAAGTTTCTGTAATGAAAAAAGAGCAAGTTGCATTCATAAAAGGTAACATTCACATTCAATTTCCTTGATATAAAGCAACATAAATGTATAAAATTGCATTTAAGTGAAAAAAATGTAAGGTTGCAGTCCTTTTTCTTTGCAAGAAGCTGAAAATGTATCTGCTCATTGCCTGTATATAATTTACATTTTCTATACACTACATGGTTTTTTAAAAAAATTTATAGCTGGGAAATTGGATAAATGGTGCAGTATTAGGAAAGTTTTTCAACTGTGTGTATACAAATTCAATTTGAAGCTTTTATGCAATTCCAAGTCATTTATAATATTCTCATAATGATTAGGATTAGTTTTTGAGAAGTCGCTATGACTACACCAAGCTCCGCTGTTATCACATAAGAGTTTTAGAGGGAATCTTAATTACTTTCCTTATCTTTCAGTGTCACTAGTCAGTGATAAAACTTCAACAAATTACGATGAGAAAAGCCCAGCCTTTTTTCCTTCAAGTTTCTCCACCGAAAAGCCTGTACTGACCTTTACTGTACCTGAGGCACCGTGAGCGCACCAGGGACCCCACCAGAGCATCCCTGTGCCACTGCTGCCCTGCTGCCCCACACCTCCCAGCCTGGCCAGCGCCTCTCCCGGCCCTCTCCAGCCTCAGAAGGGGCTCCTGTGTCCCCCGAGCCACCCACGGCAATCGCAATTCTGGTTTGGCCATTGCCGGGTGACGAGGATGGGCTCTCCTGCAGGACCGGGGCAGCCCGGCTGTCCTGGCACCCAGCCCCACACCAGTGCACTACCTGCAGATCCAAGCCCAAGAAAAACCGCATTTTCCCCAAAAGAGCTGCTATTCGGGACATTCCACATGAATTCCACCCCGCACACCTTGGGTTTGAACGTACAGCTATTGCAATGGCTCGTCCCAGCTGGAGACAGGACACTTGGAAAGGCCAAGAGAAAGATTTGGTTCTCAGAAGGCTCTGACTTGAGACAGGCAGCAGGAATTATCCTGGTTAAGTGACTATTTGAGCAGTTCACACACACATCAGGTTCCACTGCTCCCACCACACCAATGGAATCCCAGGGGAACACTGACCCTGGAGCAGAGCATGACACAAAGCAAACTCAGAAGCAAGGTGTCAAGCTTGGGACCATTCGGGCTTGGAATGGTTCTGAATCACAGGAATGAGGCATTTTAGCGCCCATTTTTCAGAGGTTATGTAAACACAAGTCAGCAACCGTGTATTTAAGGAGAATGGTTAGATTTGGCATATAGAGCACATCTCCATTGTATTCATCGCGTACTTGATCTGTAGGCACCACATTTCTGCAGGGAAAGCTGAGCACGGGACAAGGGCTGCAAGTCGAACTCTGGGTCTGTGAAATGAGCTAGGAAAATGGGAAAAGCAAACAGAAGCAGGAGCTGGGAGCTTTGCCCGTGGGCACATGCTGGCAGCGCAGCTCCTGCCCCGCATGCAGCAGGAGCCGAGCGCGGACGCCGCTCGTGCTGAGGCCAGCGCAGAGTGTACGGCACAGTGCTCCTGTCCATCCTTCCATCCACCCCCCGTGCTGGGCAGGGCAGGGCAGCCCCAGGGACTGTGCACTGCCCTCTCCCACTCAGGGAAGGCCATCCAACCCCCTCATGATGCACCAGAGGATCCGCCAGCAGCCGATCCGCACCAGCCGCGGCCGAACCGCAGGGACAGCGGCCAGAGAGCAAGGCTTGATTCTTCCAACAATTAACAGCCTGCAGTTCCACAGATTTGGTGAGGGGAATGTTCTGTCTGTCCCAAATGGTTCTGTTGACCAAGCTGAGCGAGCAGGAGCCAAACCCAGCGGCAGTGCAGAGATTGCTGCTTCTGAAAGGAGCCCCAAGCTTCTCCCAGCAGCTCCTCTGGGGGACATCAGCACTGTCACACCACCCAGCAGGGCACACAGCCTGCTCTGTCACCGCTCGTGACCTCACACAACAAAACAAGCTGCTCTTGCCACACATGAAGTATAAGACAAAAAAAAATTATTGAGAGTCAGGCATCTCACTTTTGCTGTGCAGAACCTAAAGAGGAAAGTTCCTACTACCATGGTACAGGTAGATTTGAAAAGAACATGCCAATTTAAAAACCAAAATGTAAAATGAAATCAGGTTCATGTATTCAATTTTAAACTGTCTTCTTTTTTCTTAGTGCAAATAACTCAAGATGCAGTTTCATACACCTGCAGGTTGACAGGCACAGCCCACGTCCCTGGGATCAGCCAAGGACCACACTGTCCCTCACCCTTTAGAGCGCTGGAGCCACTGCACAGTGCAGTAATGCAAGCACAGCAGAGGAGCCTGGGCACTGGGGCTCAGAGCCTGGCACAGCCCAGCTCCTGGGATTCCTTTTTGCCCCACAAAGCTTCCTTCCATCACAAACAGCCACAGAACAACCTTTTCTTCTCTCTGCAGCAGGAACAAACCCAGCAGCAAACCGCTTGTGGGAGGATGCTCTGGCACTCCCAGCCCTGCAGGTCTTCACACGGACACCGCTGCTGTGGCCAGACCACAGACTGCTTCCAGCTCCTCCTGCAGGACAGAGCGGCAAAGGTTTCTCCTGAATTCTCAGCGATCCTGCCGTGTCCATCTGGGCACCCGTGGGTGGGGATGGCAGCTGCCAGCGAGGCAGCACAGCCCAGCACCAGCACCAGAAGAGGGGCTCCAGGGGCTCCAGGGCTGCATCCACCTTCTGAGGGCAGCAGCCTCGTCCCGGTGCCTTCAGGGCTGCAGGGGAATGTCACTGCGTTGGAGTCTGTGCTACTTCTTTGGTCAGGCAGAGCAGGAGCGTGAGCAGCCCTGCTGCTCTGGGCACATCCGCAGCGGGCACACAGCGCTGTGTGTGATGGGGCTGGCACTGCCCTCCTGCATTCGATCCATGCTGCTGGGGTGAGCTCCTAACGATGCTGTCCCAGCTCCAACGATGCAGGATTTGGCAGAACTGGTTTTTTTGGGAGGGCAGGGAAGCCTCAAGACCGAAGCCTGACGTGGGGCCAGTGCCCTGGCTGCTCTCCCAGCAGGCTGCTCGCAGTCCTTGGTGCCATCAAAGGTCACTGCCAGGTTAAAACCACGGGTTCCTACAGCACGACAACGTTTGTGTGGAGCACTTTAAGGTATCCTGAGAGGATATCTTTCTGCCAGATTAGTAACAGCATCTTCAGCCTTCACATAACCATTCTCTATACGTTTGTATGACACTAACACAGGCAGATCAAAGGGGCCAGCCTGCAAAAATCAGAAGGAAAACAAACATGTATTGCAACTGTTACATTCCCAAACCCATAAACCTTTCCCTGGGTTGTTAAAATAAAGTATATAGGAGAAGAAGAATGATTAGGCCATGATAAAAGTGCCAAATATCATTCACAATCGAGTAATCAGATGATAAATAAATTTTCACAATTTGCAAAATGCTGCATGAAGTCCAAAAGTGGCCTCTGCCCCACTGTCCCCTGCAGCTCCTGTGCTACCCAGCCACTCCCACACCAGCCTGCAGCAGCGTGTGGTGGTGGAGAGCACCACCTAACGTCAGTGGGAAGGGCTGGCTGCACTGGAGCCGGCAGGGCAGGGCTGGCTGCACTGGAGCCGGCAGGGCAGGCTGCACTGGAGCCGGCAGGGCAGGGCAGGGCTGGCTGCACTGGAGCCGGCAGGGCAGGGCAGGCTGCACTGGAGCCGGCAGGGCAGGGCAGGCTGCACTGGAGCTGGCAAGGCTGGCTGCACTGGAGCCGCCAGGGCAGGGCTGGCTGCACTGGAGCTGGCAAGGCTGGCTGCACTGGAGCCGGCAGGGCTGGCTGCACTGGAGCCGGCAGGGCAGGGCAGGCTGCACTGGAGCTGGCAAGGCTGGCTGCACTGGAGCCAGCAGGGCTGGCTGCACTGGAGCCGGCAGGGCAGGGCAGGCTGCACTGGAGCCGGCAGGGCAGGGCAGGCTGCACTGGAGCTGGCAAGGCTGGCTGCACTGGAGCCGGCAGGGCAGGGCAGGGCTGGCTGCACTGGAGCCGGCAGGGCAGGGCTGGCTGCACTGGAGCCGGCAGGGCAGGCTGCACTGGAGCCGGCAGGGCAGGGCAGGGCTGGCTGCACTGGAGCCGGCAGGGCAGGGCAGGCTGCACTGGAGCCGGCAGGGCAGGGCAGGCTGCACTGGAGCCGGCAGGGCAGGCTGCACTGGAGCCGGCAGGGCAGGGCAGGGCTGGCTGCACTGGAGCCGGCAGGGCAGGGCAGGCTGCACTGGAGCCGGCAGGGCAGGGCAGGCTGCACTGGAGCCGGCAGGGCAGGGCAGGCTGCACTGGAGCTGGCAAGGCTGGCTGCACTGGAGCCGCCAGGGCAGGGCTGGCTGCACTGGAGCCGGCAGGGCAGGGCAGGCTGCACTGGAGCCGGCAGGGCAGGGCTGGCTGCACTGGAGCCGGCAGGGCAGGGCAGGCTGCACTGGAGCCGGCAGGGCAGGGCAGGCTGCACTGGAGCTGGCAAGGCTGGCTGCACTGGAGCCAGCAGGGCTGGCTGCACTGGAGCCGGCAGGGCCGCCTGCTGGCCCTGCCATGCCCATAAATCTGATTGCTTTAGCAGCAGGGGTGGGCACAGAGGTGCGAGCGGTTCGTAGATAATCTGCAGGTTTACGTTTGCAGCTCACCACACATAACATCTCCCCCAATGCAGGATTGTGAATTCAATTAGGCACTTTTACTTCTCTTATTCTGCTGTTGGTTTACTACAGAGTTTAAAATCGACCCGTAGGAGGATGCTCTGTGTGTGCGCAGACACACGGACACCCAGACAGGCCTCTGTCCCATGTGCTGACACACACAGACAAGTACATGTGCTTAGTTCCCATCTGTGCAGATGAATTAAAACATACTTATTTCTATCTGACAGAGCAGCATGCACCCTGGAGAAAGAGATTTTGGTACCATTCAGATGCAATACTGGAATCATTTTAACAACTGAGATTTCCATCCTTCACTGTAAACGTATCAGCTTTTATAACCAGTGTTAGCACGATTCAGACTGCACTCTCACATTCAATTTTGTGCTAATATTAGACTGAAGTAGCAGTTAAATTGAAAATTTGTTCACATTTTGCCAAATACTTGAAAGGATCTGTACAGATATGGGATTCTGAAGAAGCTGGATAGTACAACATCCCCAAATTAAAATGCATCCCAAGCATTGCATCTCCATTCCACAAGGACAGGAGCCCCACACCGAGAGCCAAGAGGATTACAAGAACCATGGTTTAATTGATTTGGAGAGGGTTACATTTGGTTAATCAATGCCTTTAAAACCATCCCAATCCTCAGGACAGGGTACCTGTTACAACACATTAGACTCATCTGAGAATGTTCTTAAAAGAAGAGGTCTGACAGAAGGTCTGGCCGACAATGAATCAGGAGCCCTCCTGCTGCTCTGCAACAGCGAGGCAAAGAGACACATAGCACACAGCCCTGAGCCTGACACACAGCCCCTCTGACAGACAGACACACAGCACACAGCCCTGAGCCTGACACACAGCCCCTCTGACAGACAGACACACAGCACACGAGCAGGGCAGGACACACAGCCCCTCTGACAGACAGACACACAGCACACAGCCCCGAGCCTGACACACAGCCCCTCACAGACAGACACACAGCCCTGAGCCTGACACACAGCCCCTCTGACAGACAGACACACAGCACACAGCCCCGAGCCTGACACACAGCCCCTCACAGACAGACACACAGCACACAGCCCCGAGCCTGACACACAGCCCCTCTGACAGACACGTAGCACACAGCCCCGAGCCTGACACACAGCCCCTCACAGACAGACACACGGCACACGAGCAGGGCAGGACACACAGCCCCTCACACACAGACACATAGCACACAGCCCTGAGCCTGACACACAGCCCCTCTGACAGACAGACACACAGCACACAGCCCTGAGCCTGCCTGGTGACACAGGTGACACAGGGCAGGACACACAGCCCCTCACACACAGACACATAGCACACAGCCCCGAGCCTGACACACAGCCCCTCACAGACAGACACACAGCCCTGAGCCTGACACACAGCCCCTCTGACAGACAGACACACAGCACACAGCCCTGAGCCTGCCTGGTGACACAGGTGACACAGGGCAGGACACACAGCCCCTCACACACAGACACATAGCACACAGCCCCGAGCCTGATACACAGCCCCTCACAGACAGACACATAGCACACAGCCCTGAGCCTGACACACAGCCCCTCACAGACAGACACATAGCACACAGCCCCGAGCCTGACACACAGCCCCTCTGACAGACAGACACACGGCACACAGCCCTGAGCCTGCCTGGTGACACAGGTGACACAGGGCAGGACACACAGCCCCTCACAGACAGACACACGGCACACGAGCAGGGCAGGACACACAGCCCCTCTCACAGCTCCCCCCCTTCACACAGGATGGGGCAGCACACCGTGACCAGCACTGGTGGGTTTGCAGTGCCAGGGGCGTGGCAGGTGCTCAGAAGCTGCCCTGCTCCCCACAGTGTCTGGAGATCGATGCTGCAGGCGCTTCTGAGGGAGCAGCAGACATCCCTATCCCCACACAGCCGGTGTTTCGCAACAGCCAGTAATGTGGAGAGCTGCAGCGAGCCCAGACACCAGGGACGTGCACTCAGGGTGCTTTGCTGAGGGTGACCCCAGCAGTCCAGGACGGCCCCTTGGTGTGAGGGTTGTGGGCTGTGGCTTGGTCACTCACACAAAGAACAGCAGCAGCACTGACAATGGGATGGACTGGGAGGCTCCTCCTAGGCCAGACAAGCCTGAGCCATTTCACCCAGAGGACAACCAACATCAGCTCCACCTTGTCCCACTCCTGTCTGGTCCACTAACACACAGCTACAGCAGGGAAGGAGAGTGTAACCAGCTTTGTGTGTGCCCACCTCACCTGGACACCCTGGGCGCCACCAGCTCACCCACCTGAGCTGCAGCGAGAGACCAAGGGCAAGAGACAGACAAATATTGAAGCAGAAGATTTAAATTAAGGCAGAAGGTGGGGGAAAGCGAGGCTCTGCTGTGTGAGCACATCTAAAGGGGGGTTTTCAGGAGTTAGGCATTAGAAGGAAGAAAAAAGCAGTTGAGCAAGCAACACATTGCGACTCAGAAAGGAAATCACCTTATTCACTCCAAGAAAAGCTGTGATTGCTGGAAGTTTGAGAAAGCATGAAGATAGTGGATGTTCCTGAGGAAGGAAGGCGCTTCGTTACCTAGTTCACAACAGCACAAAAGACAGAAAATTGCAGTACAAGAAAGAGAAAGGCAGAAACCAAGGAAAACACAAATGCGCCTTGCAGTTGAAAAACCAAACAGAACCAAAACAAAATAAAAACAACCACCACGTTACCACACAGAAAATTTAATAAAGGCTGAGCAGAGCTGATGTGCGGTCATAGGACACCAGGGGTGAAACCCTGTCCCACTGGGATCAAGGGCAAATGCCCAACCACCTGGCCTAAGTCTGTCCTCCCCTTCCAGAAGGGACCCTTGGCCACCAGGCTGTGGTTCAGGCTCCCATACAATGTCCCTAATTTTGGTTTTCACTGTGTGCTTCCCTTGGGACACTGATCTTTATTTTATTTCAATATTAAGGTCAGGATTCTTAACAAGGGTTTTGATTTGAATTCATCTACCTGGTCCTAGATGCCTTTACAAACCAGGCAGCTGACTCTGGTGTCTGATGGCTGGCACAGATATCCAGAGCTGGTATCTCCTTCAGGCACTTACAATAAAGCTCTAACTCAAAATGCACATTTAAATATGGCTCAGCCTGTGTTTAGTTTGGGATGCACATCTGAAGAGACTTTTCTAGCTGACACTCACTTTGCTTTGCTAAGTGATTTCACAAGAGCCTTTGTTACATGAATAAAAAGCACTCTTGAAAGCAAGTATTGCAAGAGGGGACAGATCTTTGCTCAGCAGCTGAAGGCAAAAAGGGCCACACCTCCCAGGTGAGCCGAGCTGGGGCTCAGAAACCCCCAGGTCACCTTCCAGGGCACAGCCCCAAGCTCTCCTGTGTCTGCAGCTCAGAGCAACTCGCTCCCAGCCCATTCAGCAGGGGTGCCCAGCTGGAAACTACTAAATCATACCCAAGTGGAAGTTACAGGGATCCTCACAAAACACAACCACAGCTCTGCTGCCATCTCCCCTGTTTTCAGCTGCAGCGATGCCCCATCCCTGGGAGCGTCCAAGGCCAGGATGGGGCCCTGGGCACCCTGATCTGGGAATGGCATCCCTGCCCTGCCAGGGGGCTGGAACTGGGTGATTTTAGGGAGCCTTCCCACCCAAACCCTCCTGTGACTGCCTCAAGGACCAGGCTGGGGGCTCCTGACTGAGCCCGGCCCGTGTGCCCTCAGCTGTGCCCTCTGCAGCCCTGGCACAGAAAAACCCCGGCTGTGACCAGGCCTGGCCCTGCTCCCACTGCCCAGCACCTGGGCACACAGCAGGGAGCAGCCTGCTGTTCTGACACAAACACAAGCAGCTTTTCTCAGGACAGGATAAAGGCGTTTGGTGGCCAGTTCAGGCTGCACAAGGCTCACGCTCTTCCCTAGGAGACACCACACTCCCACCCAGGGAAGGCACAGGCTGACTCTCCCGGCTGCAGATCTAGGCAGGATTTCTAGAATAACTTTTTGACATTTTTGGCATGTGAAAGAGCAAGGCAAGACTCTAGGAAGCCTTCCTTGAGATGTGAGTGGTATGTTGTATTGTTAAAGGTTCATCTGGCGCCTAAGGGTGAGAACAGTCTTCCTAAAAACACAGTGCGACACATCACCTCGTTCCTTACCTGATGATTTTTCTCTTTTATATTTTTTAAAACTATTAGAAGAATTTCTGGGAAAAGGCTGATAAAGATCAGGAGAATTATTGCCAGCCATGTGGAAACAGAAGTCAGCATATGAGCAAATACAAAATACATTCTTTGCTGCTTCAAGAAAGGCCTGAAAAAGAAAGGATACAAACAAATTCTGGTTAACATGGTTTTCCCAGAAGATCAGAACCACAGCAGACTTCAGGTAAAGCTATTGGCAGTTGTGCCTCCCTTTCAGACAGGGATGGACACAGCACAGAAACACACTGCCCATCCCTCTCCTGATGCATCTCCTCCTCCAGCTGCACTATTTCTGGAGGATTGTCATGATCCATTTCGCATCTTCCACATCTGTTTCTTTTCAGGGTGGGAAGGGGTTTGAATTTAGCCACCATCACTGATAAATTATTCACTTCATCAAAAACCAGGTCATTTTATTTCAGTGTCAGGCTTTGCTATAGCTTCTGGTTTGGTTTTGATAGTGGAAATTCAGTCTCTCAATCACAACAGGTTATTTGCCCCTTCCTCCTTTCCTTGATGAGGGAGAGCAACCAACAGCTGCTTGTGAAAAACACCTCATCAATTCCTCATGACAAGGATCCCAAAGCAGTTTTTGCTTACTGTTGGATCAAAAATATTGAGCTATGCAATTAAACAGTAGGAAGAGTTTTCAGTAGAAAGCTCACATTGAGCACAGAGATGTGGCTAGATTGCAGATCTGGATCTGTTGGTCAGCAAGAGTTTACTGAAAAGCTAAAGCTTGTGACCCCCACACAAAATACTGAAATCTGTTCCACATCCTTATTAGCAGGCTGCTGGATCAGGGATCCAGCCAATATCCCACGGCAAAGCAAGGGGGTAAAACAGAGATGCTGTGAGTGTCAACTGAACATTTACTGCAGCACAGGAAATACAGAAGTGAAGTGTTTGTAATGTACTAATGTCACCTGCTTTGGCAACACATTGAACCTACAATCCTGGGTGCACTCAAATCAATGACAATTTCTTCATTTCAACACCAGGACCTGACTCTCTCCTGCTTGTCCCAGAGGACCAGGTCCCCTTGCTCTGCATCTGCCTCACCTGTTCCTTCTGTTTCACTGAGGTTCTTTCTGTCTCTCTCCTCCACAAGCACAAACAGACCCTGAAAGGTTCAGTCCAGAACCTCCCAACAAAGGCAAGAGCCTCAAGCAGCAGAAAGGCAAACACCCCCTGCCCAAGCTGAGCACCTGGATGATGCCCAGGGTGTTCTCTTTGAGAACCATCCCTCTGCTGGGCTCCTCAAACCCTCTCATGGTGCCCCAGCCCTCCTCCAGCACTGCCTTTTGGGGGTGTGGGTGGGGGCAGAGGAAGGATCGGGGCTGCACAGCCCTGGCACTGCCAGTCTCCTAGGAAGGAGCAGGGCTGCACATCCCCTGGCACTGCCCTACACACCCCCTGGCACTGCCCTACACACCCCTGGCACTGCCAGTCTCCTAGGAAGGAGCAGGGCTGCACAGACCCCCTGGCACTGCCCTACACACCCCCTGGCACTGCCCTACACACCCCCTGGCACTGCCCTGCACACCCCCTGGCACTGCCAGTCTCCTAGGAAGGAGCAGGGCTGCACAGACCCCCTGGCACTGCCCTACACACCCCCTGGCACTGCCCTGCACACCCCCTGGCACTGCCCTGCACACCCCTGGCACTGCCCTACACACCCCCTGGCACTGCCCTGCACACCCCTGGCACTGCCCTGCACACCCCCTGGCACTGCCAGCCTCAGGATGCCCTGAGGAGGGGGCACTGCCCTGCCAGAGCCAGCCCTGGGCACTGCCCTAGCAAAGGGCAGGGGAAAGAAATGATACTTGCCAAATGACTCCTCCCCAAAAGAATGAGAAAAACACATAGAAAGCAAGGGAGCCCCAAATCACAAAGTGGTTCATCCACGTCCAGAATCGGGTATCTAACGCTAGCTGTGGGAACAAAGAGAGACAAAACAGGCTTTAGATGCACAGTGCATTGCATTTACGTGACATTTCACACTGCTTTCACGTTAAGGCTGAAGGTTCTCCAAACAGCTACCTCTGTGCATGTGGGCACCAGGACAAACACTTTCCATGTCCACAGGCTGGCACAATGCTAGCAGGGAAACAGTGGCATTCTAACTGTAACTGACACTTTTGAATGGAGTAAATTTGATGCAACCCCTGATCCTACAGGAAAGAAACATCTAAAGGTTACAGGGACTGTAATTGCCTCTTGTCACCACCTGCTGTCCTGAACCAAACACAAAGGACCTTTTGTAAGGTCTTATGCAAACAGTTTGTTCTGGAAAGCTCCACGAAACAAAATAGATTTGCTATTGTTATTTGACACGTGTGCTTTTGTGATCACTTTGGCACTCAGCCTTGTCTGAAACAAGGTGGACAAACCCAAATTCTCTATTGCTTCTTTCCTCTTGCTGGAACCGAGCCTCAAGAGGTGAAAGCGTGGGGGAGAGTCAACCATAACCAACTGCAGTCCTCAAAAGAGGGGAAAAATAGAAAAATAATTTAAACAGAACAAACACAAAAAAGGAATACATACTTAAGGGCCACAGACCGCACAAAGGAAAGTAAGCAGGTTCTGCCTCTACGGGAGAAGATCTGAGTGTGGTGGGAAACACTCAGACACTATTTCCAGCCCATTCAGCCATGATCTCACAGGGCACAGGAGCCTTGGAAAGGCCTGCAAGGAGAGGGAAGGGAGGGGCTGACCTTGAGGGTGACGGTGAACACCAGCACGGTGAAGACAATCGTCCCAAAGGTCCAGTTCCCAAACACCTGCAAAACACACGGGGCACTGCCACAGCGTGCTGGCCCTCTGGGGAGGCACAGCACGGGCACAGGGACACGAGGGAGCAGGGGAGGCAGGGACAGAGGGACAGAGGGACAGAGGGACAGGACAGGGACGCTCGCAGCTCCGCACGCCACCCTGAGCCATGCAGTGCCACACACACACAGGTGACAGAGCTGGGATGTGACAGGGACAGCCTCCTACTAACAGCAATGTCAATGAGGACACAAGGCACGGCACCACCTGCAGCTCAGGGTTTCTTGGCAATTTACTCAGTTTCTGCTTTCTCGCCACACCCATCATCCTCCTCCTCCTCCTCCTCCTCATCATCTCTCTGCAGTCCCCTTGCAGAGGGCACCAGTGGGCACTGGTGCTGTCCCAGCTGGCTGGTTTGTGGGAACTGGGGACTAGGCACACAAAGGAAAGCAGATACTGTCTATCAAACCAGTGATGGCAATGAATGGGAGGGATGCTTACCAAAGGCTGTCAAGTTCTGAATGCATACATTAAAACAGAAAGTGAAATGTAAAAGTTTCCAAAAAATGCAAAAAAATTAAAGTCAATAGGAGTGAAAAACGAGTCAATCAAACATACATGGATATTATGAACAATTGCTGGTAGCAGTTCTTACAGGCATAAGTGTTTACAGAACAGGACATAACCACAGATCTTACTGCAGTGCCACACAGATTTGACCCCTGAAGGCATTTGCAGAGCACATCAGTGCTTCATGTTTCATTCCAATCCAACCAGAATGGCCACAGACACAGCAGAGCACTGATCTGACAATACAGGGGCTTGGCTGCATGTAGCTGGGGCCATAAACGCTGGCAGAGATGCAGTGTACGGATATACACATAAATTTCACCAGCTTTTCTCCAAGTGTTAGCCACTAAAGAGTTTTGGTGTTTTCAGGGGTCACAAGTGATGGTGCAAAGAAGTTTCCCATCAGCCAAGATCTAATAACACGCTGCACATTCCCTTGGGGAACGGGTCCTGAAACCACTCAGGCCATCTGAGCAGCTGCTCTGCACTAATGCTTGGCTCTGTACTCAGTTAACCAGCAGAACAAGAAAAAAAGGGGAAAAAAGGAAAAATAAAAAAACCCTCCATCTTTTTTCCTCCTCTTTCTGTGCAAGTTAACCCCAGCAGCTCCCACAGCAATGCAAGGGCTCCTGCCCACAGCAGAGGCACGAGCAAGGAGGGACAACATCCTGGTGCCACCAGGAGCTGGGGCTTGTGCTGCCTCCAAAACAGGAGCCAAAGGCCAGCCCAGCCCTCCCTGGGCAGAGAGGCTGCAGCCACAGCCACAGCCCCAGCCCCAGGCAGGCCCAGCACACAGGCAGCCCTGCACCACGGCTGCCCTGAGGAGCACCATCCCACCAAGGGGGATAATTCAGCTGCTCACACCCAGCCCAGCACACGCTGAACTTTGGGCTGTCCCTGGTGGGAAGGACAGACCCTGCCCTGCCCTGGGCCAGGGCCTGGGATCACACAGAGCAGGGGAGGGCCCTGTGCAGAGCCCGCTGTGCTGAACGGGGCTGTGTGTGAGACTAGTCCTGTTACCTAGTGAGAGTAACCAGCTCTGCCCCGTTTCCATGGCGATCTGGAAATGTTTTATTTCAAGCATTTGCTGCAGGATCACACCATAAGCAAGGCTCCACTGTTGGACAAGACTGGAGACACAGCGCACAGCTCAAGCAGATATTCCCTGCCAGCGTATCAGAGGCGGCACACAACACAAACGCTCATCTTCCTCTCTTTGGAGCGTTACCTTTCCGTTGTCTTCCAAGGAGGAGTTTTGGAAAAGAAAATAAACCCCAAAGAAAAACACGAGTCCTTCAAAGGCGCCCAGGAAGGTCCAGTACAGGAAGGGCCTCCACTGCAGCATGGCATTGTCTGACACCTTCCTGCCAAGAGATGGAGGAACAGCACCATCAGCACCAGCGGCACCAGCGGCACCAGCGGCACGGGCCAGGCTGTGCCGCAGAGCTCCCACAGCAGGGCTGGGGGCTTGGAGCAGGCCCTTGCAGGAGGAGCCCAGGGGGAACCCACAGAAACACCTGCCAGGGCATAAAGAACACTTCTAATATCATAAAGAACGCCTCTACTATCAGCTGCTGATCGTGAGAAATCACAAGGGGTTCAACACATGAATTGTTTTGTCTTTCTCCTCTAGGTAGCTTGGATGAAAAAAAGCACAAAGTCAACAGAGGCTGTCCTGAGCCTCTCCTGCAGCCCCTGTGCTGCCCATGGTATCTGATATTTTCTGCTAAACTTTAAAAGCAGGGTAAGGCTAAAGAGCAGCTGTATGGGATACATAAAATCCATGAATCCATGGTGTGTTTCCCTCTTTTTGTGTTGAAAGCACAAAGTCCTTTTTTGAGAAAGGCTCTGCAAGTCCTGTTCCCTGAAGTGGTGTTTTTCTGCACAAGCTGAAAATAACCTCCTGAATTGTATGGTGGGTGTTTTTATCACAGGGGTTGTAGCAGGAGGCTCTTGGCCGAATCCAGGATGAGATCTGGCACGGAGGCAGCAGCAATGGATGGGCTGTGATGAAAGCTCTGCAGGGACCACACACAGGGCCTGGGGAGTGGAGGGTGGCTGTCAGGGCAGGAGGGAGTTAAAAACAGCTCCCTGCATCATTATCTTTTCAGATTACTTTCTGTAAAGTCCCCACCTTTTCTGCATTGTTCTCCTTAACTCCTAAAGGAATACATCCCCTTCCAGCAAGATGCACTTTGCAAACCTGTGTGGTGCTGGGCTCCTGTAACTGCATTTCTGAAATGAGATCCTATTGAAACCCACACAGGATGATGCTGCGACCACGCTCTAACGTGTCACAACTTGGGTCTGAGAAAGGAGCAAGGATAAACCAGGCTGGAAGCGTGGGGCACTGCAAGCAGAGAACACACAAGCAGCTTCCTCCCTGTGAGCTCTGTTTGGCACTGCCATCTCTGTCCTGCAGTGCTGGTGGTAAAGAGCTTTCCCAGAGTGAGGATCTGCAGTGCAGCAGCTCAGCCCTCCCTCCAGCAGCAGCAGCAGCAGCGCAGCGCGCGCTCTGCACCCAGCACAGGCACAGGAATATTCCAACCATGAATATTGCAGCCAGGCTGCTCCCCTGCACACACAGACCCCAGAGAGCACAGAGCCCACAGGGGAAGCACAGGGGCTGCTGTTCCTGCTCTCTGTCGCACAATATTCAATTACCAAGCTGTTTAAAAACCCAGACAGTGGCATTTTGCCACGGAGTGAAGGAATACAGAGCTGTAATCAATCATGGCTCTGAGTGTTCACTTCAAACCCAAGCCCCTTCCCAGCCACACAGCTCTGGCTGCATGCACTGCTGTTTATACCTAGGGCAATGCTCACACAGGATTTCAGGCACCTGACAATTCCCTTTCCCTTTGCTGCCTGCACAGAGATCACCCTTGGCTCGAGCACACACAGCTCCACTGCTGAGGAGCATCACACCAGCGACAGGGCTGGCACTGCCCAAAGCAGCCCTGACCTGGCTTTGCCCCAGGGCTGAGCTGACTGCCAGGCTGGGGAATGGGCAACAGGGCTGCACACAGAAGGGCTTCCCCAGAAAACATCTTCCTTAGTCTCTGCTGAGGGGCTGCCCCCAGCACGTGTGTGGCAGGGCTGGGAGGAAGAGGGAAAGCATCTCTGCTCCTGGTCAAGTTTGGAGCCTCTCCCTGCTGAACCAAGGAGAGAAAGCAGCAGGCAAAGCAGAGGGAGACAGCCTGAGCTGTCCTTTCCCAGGGCAACGTGGCAGAACACAGTGCGTGGATCGATGAACAGAGATCCCTGGGTTCTGATAAGGGGACCTGGCCTTGGGGGGGAAGCCTGGGGGACCACATCCACTTAGACAAGCTGAGAAACCACCTGCCTGAGCTGGGCTTCAGAAACATTCATCTTCCTGGAAATGCATGGACCTGTTCTCCTCCTGAAGGCTGCACCTCCCCTGCCTGCATTACAGGCTCCATCCCGTGCCTGGCTCAAAGGGAACGGGAACGAACGGCCTGGCCACTCTCACAGCTCCATTTTCCTTCTGCATGAGTTCCACCCGCAGTTTACCCTTCACAGAGACACAGCAGTGCAGTTTGCCAGAGCAGACACTGTCAGGGAGCACGAACAAGCAGCAACAGGCAGCAAACACAAGGCTGCTCGGCCTGAATGCAGAACAGCTGAGCCACAGGGACAGGAATGGCTCTTCCTGCCCTTGGTGGCGATGCCATCCCTGACGCAGGGCAGGGACACCTGCTCACTCTCCTGCAGCCAGAAAGCCAAAGCCCAGGTGGCAGAGGCCAGCCCAGGCCGGCAGTACTCACATGTAGAGCTGGGGGTCCGAGGTCAGGGTGTCAATGCTGATGTGCTGCTCCAGCAGGCTGTAAGCCAGGATGGGCAGCGACGTGAAGCAGATGTTGTACATGGTCAGGTAAGCAGCATCATACAGCGGCTTGGGGGAGGAACAAAGGGTGACGTGAGACAGACAGAACAAGGCCTCTCCACAAAGAAATGAAAGCATAAATCACCAGCTCCTGCAAACCCTCTGTGACACAGATCCCTCCCTCTGGCACCCGGCACAGCCTCGCTGGATGGAGCTGTGCTCTGTGCGGTGCAGGGGAACAAGGCACCTGCAGGGCCCAGGAACCTGCCCCACTGACAGAAGTTCTGTGACTGGCTGGTGTCACCTGCAGCTTTTCCCCCAGAAAAACAGGGCTGAGCAGCCCTTGGCACAGCTCTCCTCTTGCTGCTCCTGTGCTGCTGTTTCTGTTAATACAGCCGATGCCTCCCGTGGCTCTCTAAGGACTACACTGTTTTAGAGGAACCACAGCTCCTTTTTTTAAAAAGGCAAGTGTTTCTGCCAAAACAAGCAGAGCACTCTCTCTCACCATTCACTCTTCCTGTAACTTTTGGGCCCAAATAGACACAAAAGTCCCTTAAGCTGACACGAAAGCCAAAGCTCTTGTCTCCAAGCACAGGAACCCACTCACACAAGGATCTGCCCCTCTGATGTTTACTTGGATTAAACAAAGCTCTGGTAACACTCATTGTGTGTCTTTTTTTAAAAGACATAAGAGAATGAACCGTTCCTCCTTCTGAGTGACATTTTTAATGCACCGAAATGCAGCACAGGAGACAACATCAGGCAACTGTTCAAAACTTGTTCTTGTAAGAAAAGCAGAAGTAGCAAAATCAGGTGCTGACAAACCAGCCAAACCTTTCTCTCACTACTTCAGGAAGGTGCCCACCTGTGTTTATGGCTGGTGGATGGGAAAGGAAAGAAAGCAGATTGCTCTCTTTGCAGTTATGGTTTCAAAATATTATGTTCCAGATTTGGTGCTAGAGCAAGGTGGTGAAGGGACAGGGTGCCAAAAGCCAAGTCTCTGATAGGAGACCTCATCCTGCCACTTGCTTTTTAACTTGCCTTTACAGACAAATTAGTGGAAGTTACCTGCTGTGAGAATCCACAAAAGAACTGGTATAAAAACTGTGGTAAAATGAAGCAAAGGTTCTGGGAAAACAAAAGACAAACGGTCAGCAGGGAAGCACTTGACTTCTCGGTCTACACCCAGTAGTTTTTCCTGTTATCAGACATTAGTGTCTGACATTACAACATCAGACAAGGTAGGGCACTTGTTCAACCAAGCACAAAAGCAATCCTGTGAGCAGTTAGTATCTGCAGGAGACACCAGAAGAATGCTCACATTGCTCTGTTTTCAATGGACAGGCACATGGCAGACACAGCCTGTCCCAGGGAGGGAAAACAACTGCAGAATATCCCCCACATTAATCCTGTTCGTTATTCTATTCTATTGCCAAAGAAATGCACAGAATAAACAAAGAGATCAGCTGCACGCTGCCCCTTACCTTATAGAAGAAATACTGTACAAGGTGTGCTATTCTCACATAATATAAATGCCCGTGTGCTAGTAGCAGTTTTCGCAAGTGTTTAAACTTTGGCACAGCGTAGTCGCTGTTCCTGGAGGCCTGGCGTCCTTCCTTGCCCTTGATCCCTGCAGACAGAAGCAGGCAAGGGTTAATCCCCAAGGGCTGCACTCTGGATGCTGCCCCAGGTTTGCCCACATCACTCAGTGCCTCAAAGGGACAAGGGCTGAGCTTCCCTCCGAGAGCCCCAGGAGACCAAGCACGAACACTCGGTGTGCTTTTGGCTCCACAACACTCAGACCTGCCTCTGGAGGTTCTCAGCTATATTTAGGCTGCTCTGTGATTTCCTGTAAGGGCCTGGTGTGAGAAGGGAGTCTAGGCAAACCTGATGGAAGATAAGGAATTGGTTCCCCTGGGCTGGCCTGCATCTCTCACGGCTCAGTTATAGCTGCTCAGCCTCCTGAGCCATCCCCAGAGCCGTTCTGCTCACAAAAGGCAAATTCAGATGCGCTGCCCTGGATTCCCTGCATTAGAGGGCACCACAGCATCTCCAACAGCCCCAAAGGAAGAATGTGCCCCTTGTCTCCCACTGACCCCTCCTCAGTGGTGTTACAGGAGGCTCCGGATTTCAGACACCAGCCTGAGACAGGAGGAGCCTCCAGGTGCTGTGGGTCACAGGACAGTGCAGGCACAGCACACCTGGGCACCAGCCCCCAAACCCCTGTGGGTGCTGTGCTGAGCTGCTGCCACCAGCTGGCACAGAGCCTGGCCCTGGCACTGCCCTGCACTAACCACCATCTGTCTGCTGCTTGTGCCCCTTCTGCCTGAGCCCCAAACACCCCTTCCCACCCGTACTCTGGGCACAGAGCTTTGGAACATCACCTGCAGTGTGTCACTGACACAGAGAACGGTGCTGGCACTGGTGAGCAGCAGATGAGGATCTCACCTCTCCCTTCCCCAGTGGGCATGGCAGAACATTGGCACAGGCTGCCCAGAGAGGCTGTGGGTGCCCCATCCCTGGGAACACTCAAGCTCAGGCTGTACACAGCTCTGAGAACTCAGCATTAATCTGGAGCTAAACTCTGCCTCCAAGGAAAGCAAGAGCAGTCACATTTTTCAGTGGGACTGGTTTAGCCATGTGCAATCAGAAACACCAACTGCACCCCAGAAGGGAGCCCCAGGCAGAGCAGACAGGTGTGGGCTGTGAGATGGCTGCTCCAGGGACTCTTACCTATCCCAACATGTGCTTCCAGAATCATGCTGACATCATTTGCACCATCCCCTATGGACAGGGTTATCGGGCTTCCTTTCGTGTTCTTCACCATTCGCACAATCTAAGAGATTTTAAAAAAGGACAGCAGCAGAATCCAAAATTCAGTGAAAAAGCCTCCAGAGACCTTGCCACTGCTCCCCCCAGGACAAGCAATCAGGCTTTTACAGCAGCACTGTAACACCTGGAGAGCTCAGGTTAATAAAAGCCCTCTTTCCTTGCTGTGCAGCCACAACCAGAGCAGAAGCCCAACCCAGCTGTGCAGGGCTGAAGGACAGGATTTAAAAACAAACCCCAGATCAACATCCTGCTCTTCCCTTCTGCCAGACCCTGCTCTCCCAAGGGTGGGCTCTCTCACGCATCCCAGGGAGCAGAGGCACATCACTTAGCAGCCTGGGACATCATCTGCTGCACTGAGGAAGTCACCAACTCCACTTGACAAATTCGGAAAGGGAAAAAAAAAAGCAAACTGGGAGGTTTTGTTTATTTCTAATCGGCCTGGGTTTATGGGTTCCTGCCAGCACATTAAACAAAGGGTTTGCATTCAGATTTGAAAGAATGGTGTGCTTTCATTCTGCTCTGAAGCTCAGGCAAGGCTTACACACAGCCTGGAGAAGTCCTGCTCGGTTAGGATGCTCAGGTGAAGTCCCAGCTGATGAATTCAGCCTGTGCCACAGTGAGAGGTAAATAAATACCTGTGCTTTCTGCAGGGGAGCCATCCGGCAGCAGAGCACTGCAGTGCACTTCAGGCAGATCTGCAGGAAGATGCTTTTGTAATTGCTGGAGCCACAGTCCTGAGAGGGGTTGAGTATCAGCGACAGCGTGGAGCCATCTATGATCAGTCCATACTCCTGACTCAACGTCCAGCTTCTGGGCACAACAAGGAACACGTTTGGAACTGCATCAGACTGAGGCAGCCTAGCTGCTGGTATCATCTTAGTGAAAAACACCCTGGCTTTGGGTTAATCTTCTTCCCATCCATTTTTTGGGGCTTAGCATTTTTAAAAGGCTTAGGCTTAGCACGTGCCCTCACTAAGGGAACAGCGCAATGAAGTTCAAAGGCAGCTAACAGCAGCGCTGATGAGCAAAGCCAAGGAACCGCTGACAGTGTCTGCGAGTACCCAGTCCCCAGGGCCCCAGCACAGCCCTACCTCTGCATCTGAAATGGGCACGGCTGTGTCCTCTGCTCACCCACCTCTTGAGGCCGGCCCTGTTTTTGGGCAGGTCCTGGATGAGCTTTTTGTGGTACTCCAGCAGCAGCTCATGGAGCCGATCCTCCTTCCTGTCGCCCTCGCCCACCGTCCTGGCCGTCAGCTCCAGCAGCTCCGTGCCGGTCTGGAACAGCCTGCAGGCGTAGCACGTGGACTTGGCCGTCTCCATCTTGTCCCCTGTCAGCACCCAGACCTTCATGCCAGCGGCGTGCAGGGCCTCGATGGTCTCTGCCAGCTGCTCCTGCAGCCTGCGGGCACAAACAGAGCATCACTGCACCTGGTCACGCAGCCCGAGCCTGCCTCTGCACCAGAAACACCAGCTCAGGAGAAGGGAGCTGACTGTTCCCCTGCTGGGGACACCACTGCCACAGGAATAAGGATTACAAGTCAGCAATACCAAATTTTGATTTGCAGACAAAAAGAGAAATCGCTGCTTTATACTCTTGACTCTTAGGCCTCACAGTAAGAGTTTAATTTACACTTGCGGTTACTATAACTGAATGTGGAACTGAATTTGTTTTGATGTGCAAATTAACGCTGTCTGCTTAATTCACTCTCCAGAAGTGCAAGTATTTCTGTAGTTTCATTAATAAATCCCAATTCCTACTACACCAGCCAATTTAAGCAACTAGGGCACTGTGAAATGGGTTGTGCCATGGTGTAATTAATTGTCCTGGACACTGCCAGCATGTCCCTGGCTGTTCAGCTCCACCACAGCCAGTCCAGGCCACAAGGCCATGTCACAGAGGAACCACAGGCACCACAGCGCTGGTGCTGCAGCCACCTCCTTACCTGTCCTCCACAGCTGTGGCCCCAATCAGGTGCATGTCTGCCTCTGTGTCATCAAAAACCTTGGCCATCTTCTCCTCCCTGTCCTGCAGAGCCATCTTGGCCTCATTGAGCTGCCTGTCAATCCTGTCATACTCCTTCTCAGTCAGCTCCTTGAAGGCCACGCAGAGCGTTCGGTAGCCATCCTGGCAGGGGAGGCAGAGAAAACAAAGTGGGCAAATGCCCTGAATCCAGGTTTTTTACAGCTCCTCACTTCAGGGCTGGTGATTTTGTCTGCCATCAGTGCTTCTGGCAGTACTGCCCCTGAGGGCAGGGATAATTTGTCGGCTTGTGTCAAAAGAGCAATTTTCTGTGTTTGCACAGTGGTTCTGCTTCTTATGTGCAGAAAGGAACCAAGAGAAGGAGCAGGGCTGGGAGCGTGCAGGCAGCAGGGAGAGCAGCACTGGGGGCCACCACACTGGGACCAGGCTGCTGATGTTACTTCTATTTTTAACTTGCCTGGAGATGCTGGACAACTGTGATGGAGACCATATAAATATATCAAATAAAGGTGGAAGCCAACCAAACAGAAAAGGAAAGGAGCCTGACATCAAAACAATGAAGCGACACTCACATTTTCAACACTTCACTCCAGAGCAAGGTCACATCCCTGTGTTTGGAATAAGCTTTCCTGACCCCAGGAGCCAGCCAAATCCCACCCGTGTGCTCACCATGGCATTGCGGTCCACGTGGACTTTTGTTTGCTGGATTTCTTCTTGCTGCACCCTCGGAAAAATGGAGGAGTCTGCTCCTTTGCAGAAGAGGAGCAACTTTCCTAAAAACAAGTTATAAATAGTTTATGGCACTCACAAGCTGCAGAAGGAGTTAACAATGCCAACAGCAAGCAAGTGATGCAGAGGGAGGAAATCTGGGAGGACTAAAGAGGGAAGTGCCAGAAACCCGACTGCCTACCAAAAATGGCCTTGGAGCAGCCTGTGAAACTCCTCTGGCCGAGTCTCTGCGTGTCCCTACCTGCCTCTGAGCAAGTTTCCTGCAGGACACTGTGTCTGCAAGCCTTGGCAAGCTTTCCAGGGAGGGCAAGAGCAGCATCCCGAAGCAGGGCTGACACTCGAGAAGGATGGTGACCTCTGCATTGTTGTCTGTTACTGCCATGAAACCCCATCCCAGCCAGGGGACACTCTCACGTGTCCTCCCTGCGCCTGTTCCAGCCTGGAACCTGGCTGGGAGCTCTCCATGGGTCACTGTTCTCATCCCCTGAGGAGCTGCTGGTCCCAAACAGCTCCCGTGGAGGAAAGTTAACTCTACAGCAGCCAGTCCAGGACAGAACCGAGTCAGAGCTAAGGGCTAGCCTGTGTGGGTGACGGGAAGGAGGGGGATGTGTTCCACAGTGTGCACACGGCTGCAGAGCCCACAGGAGCTCCCTGCCTTACCTGTGCTGGTTCTCACAATGACACTCATGCGCCGCCGGACAGGATCAAAGTTCAGCACGTGCAGAAGTTGGTACCTTCAGAGAACGGGAAAAAAGCTTTGGCTCGGTACAGGAAAAATAGAAAAATAACTACTGGAGACAGAAAATCACTAACAATGAGCTGCAGAAATCAATACAAGTGGCATCAGCCACCTGGGAATGAATTTTACAGCTACTGCACAAGAAAATGGAGGAAAAAACCCAACCTGCAGAGGTCCTGTGGTGCTCTGAGCATGGGACTGAGGGTGTGGGTACCCACCAGGGCACGAGCCCCCAGGCTGGGCAGGGGCTCAGCAGGGAATGGGGCACCACGTGCCACAAGCAGTTACACTGAGTCTCACAGTTAAATATGAAGTTTCTTCATGAGGAAAGTAAGAAGTGAAACTTGCTCGTGAAGGCAAGTTCTCAGGGAGTGCTGGGATTGGGTCAGTGACTCACAGATGTCCACCAAGCTGTGAGCACAGGGTAAAATCTAACTATTTTCAGCTTGGGAAGGGAAGAAAAGGTTACAGGAATGGAGCTGTGTCACGAGTTCAGGCTCACAGTGTCCTGCTCTGAGCCCCAGCCACAGCCCTTAAGGTCAGCAGCCACCTCCTGAATGCCAGGAGCCACCTGCACAAGCTAGGGCAGATGAAGGATACACACAAAGGACTGCAGGCTCTTGAGGGACCTGAATTTAGACATCAGAACACCACCCGCGGGTTTTTGCAAGTGACTCTTTTTGCCCAAGCCTTGATGTGCTGTGCTTTGTAAATGGGACAGGAGTCCTGGGGCAGGTCAGCACGGCCTGGCTGCCCTCAAGGAACAGCTCTGGTCAGCCTGGCAAGGTCAAACTCCATCAGCTGGGTGGGAGTGGTGCAGAAGAGCAGCCCTGTTCCCCAGCAGCACTTACATCTCAGTTTCATTCTTTTGGTTTCGGATTTTCATGAAATTGTTTTCAAGTCCTAGAAAAGTGAAACCATACCTGTCAATAAACAAAAGGACAGAAGAGCATTGAAAACACCCATTGGCACATATCACACACAACAATGTTCTCGTTTCACCCCTGCACTGCAGAGCCCGAGCTGAGGAGCAGGGCTGGATGCTTGTGTGCTCCATGCAGAGCCTGCTGCGATGTCCTGGCACTGCTCCCATCCCCTGGAGAGCCTGGGCACTGGAGCACACAGACACACAGAGCCTCTGCACGTGGTCCACTGGCTCTCTGGCAGCTTTACAAGCCGCGAGCAAGTGCACGCAGCTGCAACGGCCTCCATCCAAACCCAGGGGCTGGGAAGGGCCCAGAATCACTGAATGGTTTGGGCTGGAGGGACCACCTAGTGCCAAACCCCTGCCAGAGGCAGGGACACCTTTCTCTAGAGCAGGCCCCACCCAGCCTGCCCTCGAGCATCTCTGGCAGGATTCAAATGTGGGGCTGACAGAAGTAACCGTCCTATTATTTTGCCACTGCATGGCAAGGAAAAAGTTTCACTGCAATATGCACGTGGTAACTGGTCTCTGTTTCTAGGGGATTAAACACAGGGCCAGGCGGGCTCCAGCAAAGAGCCCTCTGCCACAGCTGGGCACTGGGGCACCTTGGGGCTGCTCTCAGTGAATGCAAACCATGGGCTCCCAGGAAGATCCTTTACAGAGCACCCCTTGAACAGGGAGCTCACCTGAGCCCACAGGCTCAGAGCACTGCAGGTTCAGCAGTGCTATCACAACATGCATCCCAGAGAGACTGTGGAAAGGGATCTGTCACCCCCAGGTCACCCTCACCTCCCTCCTCCCCACCAGAGAGAGGGAATCAGAGAGCCAACATCTCCACGTCCTTACTTTTCCGCGCCTTTGACCAGAGCGATCTCATCTGGGGAGGAGGAGATGTAGGTGTATTTGCGCTCTGGGTGTGCCACCAGCCCGTCCACCTGGTCCGCCTCCTTGATCTGGACCGTGTGGCACAGGCACAGGGCTCTCAGGAACAGCTCCTCACGGCTCTGGGCAGGACACAGGGAGGAGGGCTGTCAGCAGCTGAACACCCAGGCAGGAGCTGCCCCAAAACCCTACAGCCACCAGCACACACCCCCCTCACCTTCTCAGCCTTGCCATAGTACTTGAGGGGCCCATCCGGCTGGGAGAAGCCATCCACCTCTGCCATGCAGTCCTTGTACTTGTGCCCGTCGATGCAGCACTCGATGAACTCCATGCTGTTCTCTGTCAGCGTGCCCGTCTTGTCAGTGAACACGTACTCCACCTGCAACACCAGGCAGCTGCACAGGGCTGGGCAGCGAGCCCCAGGAACACAGCCTGGGGCATCTCAGGGCATCTGTGCCACTGTGGAGGGCACCTGGGTATCCCAACCCGACTGCAGACAGACGCAGGTGCCCACTGCACCCCTCTGTAGCTCGGTACTCTGCTCCTTTGTTCTTCAGCCTGTTGCACAGGGGCAGGAGGCAGCTTCTGAAGAGTTAAAATCTGTCTCCAGGCTCTTCACTTCCCCCTCATTCACTTTGCTGGGTCCTCTGCTATAGCCCTAGTGCTTGCAGAACTGCAGGTCTGCTGCCTCCTCTGGGGACCTTCATCTTGGAGCTGTATTTCAATTAGCTAATTGCTACTCCAAGTGTGTTTTTATTCTTGTTTTTACAGCAAAACCAAAAGCAGGAGGCGCTCAGATGCCCTGCGCTCATCTCTCCTCTGCAGAGCAGGAAGGGAAGCCTGAGCTGTCTGGGTGCCCCAGCTGCACGTGCTCTGCACGCCCCGGGAGACGACTGGGCAGGCATTTTCACTAATCCTCACAGAGACAGAGGGCTTTTAATTTTTAATTGAAGCAGCGAAAGCAAAGCACCCTGACACGCAGAGCGCTGCGCCTGATCCTGCCCAAAATGGAAACAATTGATGTGACCCAGTTCCTGCTCTTTCACGCACTATTTATAACCTTATCTGGCTGGCAGAGAGCGCAACCACATCCAATGGAAAGTGCCACCACGGCCCTGGGCGAGGCTCCGGCCCCAGGGGACGGCAGGGACTGCCACAGCAAGGGCTGCTCGCAGGGAGGGCACCCCCAGCCCCATTTCCATCCCCACAGACCCCACAAACACAGCACGCTGACCTGCCCCAGCTCCTCGTTCAGGTCCGAGGTGTTCACCAGCGCTCCCTCCTGGATCTCCTCATCGTACATCTCCTTGTCCCAGGAGATGAAGAAGGAGCCCAGGAACTTCTGCATCTCCACTGTAACGTACATGGAGACGGGGATGATGAAATTGAAGAGGACCATGAAGGACAGGAAATCCGTGAACATCCGCAGCACCTGCACGGCAAAGAGGAGAAGATGCAGCCTGTGGCTCTCGGGAGCAGTTTGTACCTCAGGGGTTCTAAACAGCTTCTCAGAAAAGGTTAAATAGGAAAAGACAACATGAAAATGAATACAGCTGAGATACAGGGCTAAATTCCATTTCCTTTGGCACAGAAAATCCCACAGTCTTCTGCAGGAACAGGAGTCCATCTCACTGCTCCACAGTGACCAAAACAGTGTTTCATAAGCATATTCCTCTCAAAATACACTGCTACAGGCTCATCCTGACCCCAGGAAACCAGAAAAGAGGGACAGGTGGCTCGAGACCAGTGAGGCTGTGGCAGGGGTACAAGTGTGCAGTGACATCCCTGCACACAGCCCATCAACTCAATAACCCACCCAGTGAGGATCCCTGCACGCTCACACTCACTCTCTCAGGCTTGACTGCCCACGTCTGGGCAAGTTTAGCAAACTGCTTGACATGGCCTCAATTCAGGCTTACCTACTCAAAGCTGAAAGATATCTCGGGTTCAGATAAGGACCCAGGTTACATCAGCTGTATTTCTACATTATACAGTATTTATTTATGCTCTGCCCCTGATCCACACAAATATCACTGTGCACAAGCACGAGGGAGGCACAAAAGAAGCACAAACAGCAGGAGAGACCAAAGGAAACAGCACTTTGTGTGAGCAAACAGGACTCCCAGGGCTGGCAGCAGGCACAACAGATTAAAGCAAACAGCCAGAGCAAGTGAAGCTGGAGGAGGTGCTGAAACACAAATCCACTCACCTTGAACGTGTCTCTCTCTTTTTTAGTCTTCTCGTTGTACCAAGGCTCATCATTAAATGGATTACTCTGCCAGACATATTTCAGAGTCGTGCACACAGTGGCCTTGCCCAATAAGATGCATAAATACACTATCAAGAAAGCGTTGATGGATCTGAAAAACAGGTTTCTTTTTTAAATTCTTGCAGCTATTTTTATAGAGAAAAACATGTAAATAGGCAATAACAAGACTTCCTTACTTTCAAGAAAAGAATTACAGAACATTTGCTTTTGACACTGCTGATATTCAGGGTCAGGTTCATATATTTACACATTTTGTAATTTTGTTTTTAAATAAAAAAGCTACTGAATGGTTCTGCTTCTTGCAAGATATGCTTTATCAAATACCCAGATTTTTCTATGCAACCAGAGAGCCTCTGAACAAAAGGCAGTGGATTAGGGGATTACTTCTGTACCAGCCATCCATTAAAAACAATCCCAAACCCAACAGGTTTTACCGATTCTCTCCTGAACACAAATACTCACTTCTCTACTGCAGAGCGTTTCTGAGATTTCCCTTGGTAGTTGAGAGCCATTTTTGTTTCCATGCCAGTATAGACTGCAACTCCTGCAGGAACCAAAGCAGGGCTCATAAGGGACGGAGCCTGGAGGGAGCAGCTGGCACGGGGCCACCAGGGCAGCGGTGCTTACACCAAAGCCAGTCCCAGCTGGAGCAGGAGGCACCACCAGGGGCTGCTCAGCTCCAGGAACACCTGGGGCTGCCCAGGAATGGCCCTGCTGCATCACACAGAGCCAGGAATGTCACTGCTGCACCCCAGAGCAGGAGCCCATGGGTCACACAGAGCCAGGAATGGCCCTGCTGCACCCCAGAGCAGGAGCCCATGGGTCACACAGAGGGAGGAATGTCACTGCTGCACCCCAGAGCAGGAGCTCATGGATCACACAGAGTGAGGAATGTCATTGCTGCACCCCAGAGCAGGAGCTCATGGATCACACAGAGTGAGGAATGTCATTGCTGCACCCCAGAGCAGGAGCCCAGGGGTCACACAGAGAGAGGAGAAGGCACTGCTGCACCCCAGAGCAGGAGCTCATGGATCACACAGAGTGAGGAATGTCATTGCTGCACCCCAGAGCAGGAGCCCATGGGTCACACAGAGCCCATGGGTCACACAGAGCCAGGAATGGCCCTGCTGCACCCCAGAGCAGGAGCCCATGGATCACACAGAGCCCATGGGTCACACAGAGCCCATGGGTCACACAGAGGGAGGAATGTCACTGCTGCACCCCAGAGCAGGAGCCCATGGGTCACACAGAGCCCATGGGTCACACAGAGCCAGGAGAAGCATCAGCCTCCCACCACAGCCCCACCCTCCACCACCATTATGTGAGACTGTGCTCCCAGAGAGGATGTGGGCACAGCTCCCTGCTCTTGGTGTCCCAGGCAAAAGGAAAAGCTTGCTCTGCTGAATTAACACACCTGGGCAGCCCTGCAGATGGAACCAGTGCCTCCCAGTTTCACCTGGCCACTCTGCAACCAGCTCGCATGAAAACTGCACAGCCCAGGTAGACAGGCTGCAGAGATGTTCCCTCTCCAGATTCAGAAGGGAACATCTACATTTGTCACCACTTATCAGAACTATTTAAATAAACAAACAAAATAACTTCACCGTAAATCTTCTTGGTATTTTTGAGGGTAGCACCTTTCAACAACAGGTTTTCAGGACCCAAAGACCTAAACATAAAAGAAGTTACAACATTACATGACTCAAAGAACATTTAAACTACTTCATAAATTAGAATTAGAATAGAAAGACAAACAAAGTTTCCTCATGTCTGATTACATGATTTGTACATTAAATTGGGGCCTTGCCTGAGTTTTTCTCTTTATGCAATTACATTTCCATTTCATCATACAAATACTATCCCTGATGCAAGACTCCACTCTCATTGGGGGATTTTCAGCAAGGCTTTTGAGGAGTAACTGCAAAATGTTCAGATCCAGTACGTTCCAGTACTTTTACAAAAATGCAATGTTAAAATCATCAGAAGCCTGTCCATTCCAGCCCAGTCAGTCAATGCTGGCCACCCCATTTGTGTCTTTATTTCTCTTTGAAACCCCCAGATTTTTGCTCCCAGGGTATGAACAGCCCCACCAGAGCACAAAACCCATCCAGCATGCTCTGGTGAGAGCCAATGCTTTGGATGGTTTATGAACATCACCTGCTCATTTTTTCTGTGGAACACTCTGATTGATGTTTGAGCTCTTGCTTACCTTCCAATGACAATATTTTGCCATTGCCTGATAAATTTGTGCCCCATCAGCAGGGCAGGACATTACCAGGTGGTTCTGCACTGCTTACTCAAAACGAGCTCAAACAAACCACAGGATGGCAGAAGGGAGGACTCCACTTAGAATGAAATCTTTGGAATGGTTAAAGAAAAAAAAAATTCCCAAATGATGGCAGGACAAGCTCAGATCTCTGAAATTCTCTGTAGATGCCCAACCCCTCTGAGGAGGGCCAACAGGCAGCTGCAGGACCAACCTGGCTACAGGCTCTTGGTTACTCCCATAGATGATAATCCTTCCAACAAATCTGTGATAGAAATATGAGAAACTCGTATTAGAGACACACTATAGACACTACAAACATAACAAAGAAAAGTCATTGACAGGAAATGGAAGCAAATCGAGAAACAAGTGAATCTGGGAGTTTAATGTTTCAGAGGGCTGGCTGTGCTCAGGACAGGGAGAAGCCACACAGTCCCCATGCTCAGGGTACCACAAAAACTGCTGCATGGGGGAGGCTTTTCTGCAAAGACACCGAACTTTCAAGACTTTGCCATCCTTTGCCATTCAGAGGAGGCCCGGCAGCTTATCAGTGCCTTGAGCCACCTTCTGGTCTCTGCCCAAAGGAGATGGCATTTGCTTTGCTGAACTGCAGCTGCCCGAGTGACGGCGCTGAGCTGTCTGCAGGGGATGAGCCCGGGCAGCACAGGCAGGGGGGAGGCAGGGGGGAGGCAGGGGGGCCAGACTCACTTGTAGAGGTCGGGCTGGGGCTGCTCACACTCGATGGTGGCCGTGAGGGCGTCGATGGCTTCGTCGGTGCAGAGCACGGTGGTGTCCCGCACGGCGTAGTGGGTCTGCACGCGAGCACAGGCAGGGTCACCGCGGGCCCCAGCAGCACTCCCACCCCAAGCTTTACACCCCATCACTCCAAATGCCACTGTGCACAAGCCTGTCAGCGCCAGCAGCTCCCCAGAGCCCTCGCCACGCTCCCACCAGGCAGCTGAAGCATCTCTCAGAGGCAGAATGAAGTCACCGATGAGACAGAATGAAGTCACCGATGCCAAGAGAAACCACAGCAGCAAGCAGCTGCTGGCTGTGTCAGCAAGGCACCCCCAAAAGCAGAGCATCCCTGGCTTTTCCCTGGGGCCCTGCCCTGCCTGGGGTGGAGGGAGGCTGCAGGGGCCCTGTGGAGGAGGAGCTGCCCCCCTGCCCTGGCTCCTGATGGCAACCACACAGCAGCTCCAGCAGCAGGACCAGGCACTGGCAGACTCCCAGCTATTTTTAGCAGCTGCTGCTGCAAAGGTTCATCTCTCATAATTAACTGAAAAGCCCACAAAGGATCTGCTCGCTGCCTTTCAGGCTCTATTTATAGGAGCTGCTCAGAGCTCCCAGTCACGGCGGGCTCACGGCAGGCTGCCTCGATCCATCTTCATAAACAAATTCATTAAAGCGCTTCCTCCGCTCCTGACGTGTGCATCCCTGCCCTGTGCACCCCAGAGTTACACACACTGCAGCCATGGAGTGAGCCATCCCCTCCTCTGTGTGCACCCCAGGATTACACACACTGCAGCCATGGCAGAGCCATCCCCTCCTCCGTGTGCTCTGCTGACCTGCCTGCCCCCTCAGCACACATGGACACATCACAGCTTTGGCCAAAACTGCTCCTGCAGGACCAAAGCTAGCCCCTGAGGGGGGTTTGCAATGCCCCCATCAGCAGAGACACTGTGCAGTTACTGAGCGATACTTCAAAGGCACCTCCCAATCAATTCCACGACCTTTACACCCTTTAGTGCATTCAGAAAACACATGTTCTGTTAGCTAACGTATGGCCAAAGATTTGTGCTTCACAGACAGAGCCCTGACTAAATCTCTGTTACATTTCTATTCCAGTTTCACTCAATCAGGCACCTTTCCCATACCTCAACCTGACATGCCCCAAATACCAGAAAAATCCCCAGGAGGTACCCCTGCAGATGAGGTCTGGTGATTACCCAAATGTGCTTCCCTCAGTCCCCTTTTACAGCAAACCCTGGCTCCTGATGTTAGATCTATTTCCCCAAACAGAGCTGGCTCTATTCCCTCTCCCCCTTCAAACTCATCTTCCCCTTCAAACTCATCTTCCCCTCCTCATGAAACAGGAGACAGCTCCCAGTCACCTACAGGAATCCACAAACCAAGAAAAAACCAGCACAGTGCTTGATATAGAAACTCAGCATCTAATCTCCAACTCACAAGTTGGTAAGAGCCAAGGCTGTGCACAAGTAATGTGAACTGATGCATGTATCACACCTGACACAAATGAGCAATAGCCTTTAACACGGTTGGCTATTTCTAGCCTCAAGCCACTTCAAAGCTCCAGCTCCTCCTCACTAGTGGAGCCAGCACTGTGCCACAGCTCCCACTCGGGTTATCCAGCACCAGGCACCCATGGAGAGGAGCCACAAAGCCCAGAACAGCACACCAGCTCCACAGTGGTGTTCCCACTGACTTCAGAGTGTGCTGGAATGAATCATGTCATGGCAAAGTGTCTTCCAGTCCCACTGCTGCAGCTGCTAGTGCCTATGTATTTATCATACACTTATTAGATTGTTATGATATTATTATAGTCTGTATTATCCTCATACAAATATTTATCAAACTCAAGTGAAACCAAACATTCATGTCTTCTGACGTATATAAGCTCTTTGTTGTTGCTTCTTTTCCTAGTTTAGAGACGGGGAGATAGAGAATAAACTGGAGATACTCATCCTGAGCAGGACTAGTATTAATTTTCACTGCTTGCTCCAGGGAAAGGGAGGGAAAATCCCAAAAGCAATGCTTTTCTCATGCTGGTGAAAACAAACAGAGCAGTCCATCCCCCAAACAACCAATGCCCCAGGGCTCACTGCTGAGCAGAGCACAGACCATGCCCCAGGGCTCACTGCTGACACCCTGGAGCAGACAAGAGCAGGAGCTGCTGGAGAGCCAGGCAGCCACAGGGACGGGCTCCATGCAGCAGCCCCCAGCCCAGCCCCAGCAGGGCCATGCCCAGGTACCCAGCCCAGCCCCAGCAGGGCCATGCCCAGGTAACACACAGCCCCAGCAGGGCCATGCCCAGGTACCAGCACAGCCCCAGCAGGGCCATGCCCAGGTACCAGCACAGCCCCAGCAGGGCCGTGCCCAGGTACCAGCACAGCCCCAGCAGGGCCGTGCCCAGGTACCCAGCTCCAGCTGCCCCAGCAGGGCCGTGCCCAGGTGCCAGCACAGCCCCAGCAGGGCCATGCCCAGGTACCAGCCCAGCCCCAGCAGGGCCGTGCCCAGGTACCAGCACAGCCCCAGCAGGGCCATGCCCAGGTGCCAGCCCAGCCCCAGCAGGGCCATGCCCAGGTGCCAGCACAGCCCCAGCAGGGCCATGCCCAGGTGCCCAGCACAGCCCCAGCAGGGCCATGCCCAGGTACCAGCCCAGCCCCAGCAGGGCCATGCCCAGGTACCCAGCTCCAGCTGCCCCAGCAGGGCCATGCCCAGCTCCAGCTGCCCCAGCAGGGCCATGCCCAGGTGCCCAGCTCCAGCTGCCCCAGCAGGGCCATGCCCAGGTACCAGCACAGCCCCAGCAGGGCCATGCCCAGGTGCCCAGCACCAGCTGCCCCAGCAGGGCCATGCCCAGGTGCCCAGCTCCAGCTGCCCCAGCAGGGCCATGCCCAGGTACCAGCCCAGCCCCAGCAGGGCCATGCCCAGGTGCCCAGCTCCAGCTGCCCCAGCAGGGCCATGCCCAGGTACCAGCACAGCCCCAGCAGGGCCGTGCCCAGCACCAGCTGCCCTCCCAGCCCTGACCTTGAAGTTGGACTCGCCGTCCAGGCTGGCTGTGGTGACATAGCAGGTGCCATCAGTGCTGCTGGAGGCCAGAAATATCAAATCACAGGGGAAGGTCTCATCTGCTTTCACTTCCACGATGTCTCCAACCTAGGAGAAAGGAGCACTCACATGCACAGCCCTCTCAGGTGTTTTTAGCTGAGTGTGATTCAGCTGCTCTCAAACACAAGCTGGGGTCCAGGGGCTGCACAGATCCCTGACCATCACCCCAGAGCCTGAAGGGCCACCCAGCCCTGCACTGACTCAGAGCACCCTCAGGGCACAGCCACTGTTTACTCCTCTGCTAAATCCTGAAGGAGCAAGAGACTTGCCTGGAGTGCGCTGTGATAAATTAACATCAAAGCCAAGTGTACTTTCCTGGTGTCCTTGGGAGAGCAGGAAATAGAAGAGGACTGCCTGTCCTGGAGAAGTGCAAAATGCTGGCAGATGTGTCACCTGTCAGCCCCGGTACAGCTTTTGTGAGACAGCTTTTCAAAAGAAATCAAAGGCAGCCTCACTCCTTCACTGGGAGCAGCTCTGGAGCATCTCAGCTCAAAGTGAGCAACTGGGGCAGCTGTGACCCAGGACAGCCCTCCTGCCCTGCCCTGCCCCCTCAGCACAGCTCTGTGCTGCCATCAGTGAGAGCCACACACAGGCTCTCAGGTAACAGTTACCTTGATTTTTTCACTCTCTTTCCGCACTTGCTTCGCGTTTTCCACGACAAAGACGTTGCTTTTGTTCACCTCGTTGTCAGCTCTGTGCCTCAGCCAGTCCTCGTACCCCTACAGCACAGACACAGGCAGCACAAACCCCTTACAAAGTGAGTAAACTAATGAAAAGGAGGAGTGAGGATCACAGGGACACGTGCAAACAATGAATAAGCAACTGTCCTCAGACCTCCTTCATGCCTGACAAAACACCAACCAGAGCAGCTCAGACTGAATCAATTCATTTAGAAAACCTCCATATGCATATCTGACAGATTCAGAACAGATTAAAATAACACAAAAATAATCTATATGCGGGGCATGCAACAAGCAGCTGAACGACTGTAACACATTTCTATTATTCTGAGCCGTGGTAAGAACAGACTGACAATATGAATAACACACTCAGCAGCCTGCAACTCCTTCCTATGGTAACGCAGGATGAGGCTCTTCCCCTTCAGCCTTCACTGGAGGAATGAGCATTGAGATCTGAGGCAGAGATTTTATTCCAGCTCTCCCTTTCCAGCCCCCGTAGATGAAACTTCTTTCTTTATTATTCACTCAGGAAATTTTAAATGGCATGTGTGCCTGCGATGGGAGGCAAAAGGTCTTTGAGCACTGCACGGAGATGAGGAGCACACGTCTGCAGGAGTGGTGAGTGGCTGAGCAGAACCTGTCCTTCCCACCTCCCCACACGGAGCAGAGCGTGGGTGGATTTGGAGCACGTCCCTGCAAGGACTCAGGGAGCGTTTCCAAGAAGAGGAAAAACATTCCTGCAACACCAGACCTACAGCAGAAAGCTTACTGACCCTCCTGGCCTGCTTTCAGCAGCACGGGGATGCTTTCCACTGCCACAACAGGAGACACCAACCCCACACCCAAAGTGCAGCCTCTCCTGGAGAGCACCAGCGCCCAAATCACCCTCCAAAGGGGGCACCAAGCCTGCCAGCACACGTTGGTGGCCTCTGAGCATATTTAAATACACGTTTCTGTGCCTGTCTCACAGAGCATCTCCCCCCACAGTGACAGCTGTACCTGTTTGATAGCTGTGACAGTGATGACGAAGAAGAGCGGGAGGCCACTGGTCACCGGGCTGGTTGGGGTGTCCACTATCACCTGCAGGACAAAAATGGACTGCTGAGCCCTGGGTTTCAAAACCAAACCTCTGCTTATGGGGGGAAAAGGCTGCTGATCCCACTGAGGGCAGCTCAGAGCCCAGCACAGGAGGAAGGCAAGGAAGAGCAGCACCACTCATCTTGAACCACTGACACTGGGAGGCTAAAAATAACAGCCATCAGCCCAAATTACCTGTGAAATACACTGCAGAACAGAACATGAATATTTAAGCAAACCAGAAATGCAGGCTTTGTGTTAAAGCTCTCAGAGTGGAGCTCAGAGCACGCTGTGGGCACCGTGGCTGCAGAGGGGCACAGCCGGGTCCTGCTGAGCCCACTGCAGCCCAGCCCAAACCCCTGATCACTGCAGAGGGGCACAGCCGGGTCCTGCTGAGCCCACTGCAGCACAGCCCAGACCCCTGATCACTGCAGAGGGGCACAGCCGGGTCCTGCTGAGCCCACTGCAGCCCAGCCCAAACCCCTGATCACTGCAGAGGGGCACAGCCGGGTCCTGCTGAGCCCACTGCAGCCCAGCCCAAACCCCTGATCACTGCAGAGGGGCACAGCCGGGTCCTGCTGAGCCCACTGCAGCCCAGCCCAAACCCCTGATCACTGCAGAGGGGCACAGCCGGGTCCTGCTGAGCCCACTGCAGCCCAGCCCAAAGCCCTGATCACTGCAGAGGGGCACAGCCGGGTCCTGCTGAGCCCACTGCAGCCCAGCCCAAACCCCTGATCACTGCAGAGGGGCACAGCCGGGTCCTGCTGAGCCCACTGCAGCCCAGCCCAAACCCCTGATCACTGCAGAGGGGCACAGCCGGGTCCTGCTGAGCCCACTGCAGCACAGCCCAAACCCCTGATCACTGCAGAGGGGCACAGCCGGGTCCTGCTGAGCCCACTGCAGCACAGCCCAGACCCCTGATCACTGCAGAGGGGCACAGCCGGGTCCTGCTGAGCCCACTGCAGCACAGCCCAAAGCCCTGATCACTGCAGAGGGGCACAGCCGGGTCCTGCTGAGCCCACTGCAGCCCAGCCCAAACCCCTGATCACTGCAGAGGGGCACAGCCGGGTCCTGCTGAGCCCACTGCAGCCGGCTCCCAGCACAGCCCAAACCCCTGATCAGCAGTGAGACCCCCAGGCTGTGGGACCTGCTGCTCCCTCTGACGTGGCCCAAAGGGTGAGATGGCAGGGCAGGTTCCCGAGGGGCAGGGAGCCCTTCCCACCACACCACAGCCTGCTCATTTCCCCGCTGCTCCTGGGGAGACGGGGAGCACCAGGGGCTCTGATGAAAGGGACAGGGGAGTCAGCAGAAAGGCTTTGTGTGCCCACAAAGGGGCTTTGTCTCTTGTTTGCGCTTCCCCAGCACGCTCACACAACAGCAGCATTTGGGTATTTATTGTTTCAGGCCGCCTGTAAAAAGCTGTGCTAAGGACAGGACTCCTCTTATCAGCTACGTGGACGTTTTTGACTATGAAATGCTGGGCACTGCAATATCACCCTGCCCTAATGAACCCAGAGAGAAAAGCCAGAAGATTCTGAAGTGGAAGAGAGACACCACAAGCAGCAGCCAGATAAATGGCAGAGGAGTTCAGCAGCAGGAGAGCAAACCAAGATAAACACCAAAAGTATTTCCAGGTACACAAAGCCCTGGCTCACTCCAATGGGTGTAAAGTGTTCCCAAGCAGAAAGCCTGGTGGAAACCCAATGTGGAGGAACAGCTCTGAGTGAGGACAGTGCCAAGTGCCACACAGACACTGCACACAGCAGTGATGGCCACTCACCAGGGCAGTACCATGGAGCTTAGGCCAGTTCGCCAAAAGTTATCCTGCAAAAACTGGACAGGTCTTGGGAATACAAGAAGAACTTTGGCTTTCTGCTGAGAAGGGGAAAGGAGAGGACCTCCTGCTGCCCCGCAGGACAGTTTCCTGCTCTGGACAAGTTATACTTGTATGTATTTATATTAAAAAGCACAATTTCTGTCCACACAGATACAGGAGGACAATATCAGATTAAGTGTCTGGAATTACTCATATATGTATCTAGAGTTTGGACTCCCTGCAAAAGCCCCATGGGTGGACACCACTCTTCCCCTTTGCGGCTGGTGAAAAGCTGAGGGACACACAAGCAACAAGCCAGGAGAAAGGCAGACTCCCCTGAAATTATTTTTGGACTGGTTCAGGACTTCAACAGCTTAATTTGAATGCACTTAAAAGCGACAAAGTCCTCTTGTTACTTAACAGTTTCTTCTTGGGAGATTCCTTAGGACACTAAGGACCACACTCCAAAAGTTATCTCCACTCTCCTCCTCAAAGGGACTCTGCAGATTCCTAAAACAGCTTATTGCCACCAGCCTGGTCTGCCTGCACACACACTGGGTGTGCTCATCCAGGGCAGCCCCTTCTGCCAGGAGATTCCCTGCAGGCTCCTGTGAGAGCTGGAACACACGAACCAAAGGGATTTGCACTGTTTGTGCGCAGTGTTTCATGCTGAATGCACCACTGTCTCACAAAGAGCTGGATCTGCAGCCACAGAGAAACAGAAGGTTTGATTAAATGTTTCACACAGGTAGGGCAGGTGCCTCAGGTAATTCCTCCAGCACTGAGACACCTCAGTCCCCATGCAGCACCCAGGGGGGACAACCCCAGTAACTCACAGACATTTAAACAGAAGCCTGGACATGTGAGGCACAGGTGGCATTTTCCAGGTATAACCCTTGGTACTGCAAACGCACAGAGTGGCCCTGAGTGCCTTTTTGAGGCAGGGGATGTCTCAGCACGACAAGCACCTGGGCCAGGGGCTGCTCTGTGCAGCAGCCAGGATCAGGGCTGGGCTCTGCTCAGCCGGCTTTGTGTGTTCTCTAATCCACCACAAGGCTGCTTCCTGATTTCAGAGGTGCTCACAGAATGAAGGCCAGGAGGAGCAGCAGGCTCTTCCCTCACCTGTGCCTGAAACGGGCAGGCAGCGAGACAAGCCCAGGTTGTGGCCATAATCAGGAATATTCCCTGCTCTCCACAGCCACAGGGTCAATAGATAAAATGTAATAGCACGTCACTAAGCGGCCAGCTACACAAAGAGGACATCCTGACTCCAGGGTATCGCTTCAGTTCAAGGCAAATTACAAATTGGGTCTGACAAAGTGGAGCAACGCCAGCGCAATGAGGAGATGGAGGCGAGCCAGCCGACGCCAGAGCAAATTGGCCTTTCGTGTCACACTGCCAGCAGAGCCACACACAGCAGGGCTGGGAACCAGAGCCCTCCCTGCACAGCACAGCACTCGGGCACTCATCCCTGTGCCTGCAATAAATCTGCTGCTTTGCCCGTGCACAGCAACTTCCTCAAGCTTCAGTTTCCAAAACTCATCCTATGCGTTTCCTGAATTTTACTGAGTACATCCCATCTCTCCTGCTTGCCTTGAAACTCATGGTATCTGAGACATATTACTTGGGGAAATAGAGAGATAAAAAACAGATCTTAATTGTGTAGCATCAAGTGTAATTTCAGTGGTTGAATGATCTTAACAGTTAGAATTAAGATGGTTTTTCAGCAGTCATTCAAACCCCACCTCAGAGAGGCCCAGATATTTTAATTATTTTTATGTCTTGGATGGTGGGGCAGAATTATAACACAGCTTCCAACTCAAAAATCTCCAAACTTTTAATAAGCACGAACAGTTTTAAAGCTCAGCTCTTGTTCAAGCCGTGTTTAACATCACTTAAGCCCAAACCAAACTCACGCTCAGCCTCGAAGCTCTTACCTGCACGAGGAAGATGATGAGGAAGTAGAAGTTGGCAATTCTTCGAAACTGCTCGAAAAGGTTCTTGGGGAGGAAGTTCCAGAGGGTGTACTGTGGGGAGAGAGGGCACTGAGACAGAGCCAGGCTGGCAGCACACAGGGAGAGCAGCTCTGCTCTGGCATGGCAGGGGAGCACAGCCCCAGAGCCAAAACCAGGAGCACAGAGCAGCTGGGGCTGAGGTTACATGAAATTCACAATTCCCACAGCGCAGCTGGGGCTGACATCCCACCAAATTCCTGCTCCAAATTCCTGCTCCAGCTCTCTCTGCTGGAGCTCTGAGCAGTCAGAGGTGGGTCACAGTGACACAACATCTAAAAAGGCATTTGCACACAGGTGATTTCATTACAACATAGCCCAAAGTGCATACATTTTTTCCAAATTCCCAAAACCATCTCAGAGATGTTTTTGTTAAAAAAAAAAAAATAGCCACGCTTGTCCATACAAATTCAGTATTAGGTCGTGCTTCATTATAATTTTAAGAAGGCTGCTGAATCATTTACTTTGGAAAGCATGCGGAATTTAAGAACAACATGGAAAATACTGGGTGTCGTATCTATCTTTCAGTCTGTCTGGAATAAAAAAAAATAAACAGTCAAGTCTCAAGACTAATGCCCACTTAATTATAAAAGAGACTGGGCAGGTCCCTGGCCTAGCAAATATAAAAGGGAAAAAGAACAAGGACAAAACACTCAAAAATAAATCAAGGAAGAACTAAAATTAGTGCTAAAGCAAACCATTTGTCAGTGAGGGAGCTGAGCTGGGGGAAGGTGTCCTCACTCAGGCCCCTCTGCGTGCCAGCAAACATCAATGGGAATGCTGCACCAGCTAAACAGACTGAAAGCTCTTCCCAAAAATAAACCCAGACATACAAAAACTGATAAGATCCAAGATGTGCAGAGAAACAAAGGCGAGGGAAAAACCCCTCTGCAGCTCAAGTGCAGCGAAACTGAAGCCTGAGTGCATGCTGAGCATCAGCAATGCTGAGCACTGGCACACGTATCCAGCTGTGTTGACAATATGGAATGCCACTTGTTGGATATTTTACTCCAATTGGCTTCAAATCTTTCGAAATAGTTTCATGAATGTCATGGAGAAAAGCTAAGCAGAAGGCAGATGGGTGTCATCACAGCTCTCCACCATAAACAAAAGCTGCATTAATACCATATGAATGTTTCCCCCCCTTCCATCCAAAGGGATAAACAGAGCATGGTTATTTTTGTCCTATCTCAAGAAAGAAAAATCCCACAGAATAAAAACAAAAAGAGGGAATCATATTTTTAAGTCCCTTTATAAAAAGTATTGCCCTTTATAAAATAAAATTTGAGCTGCTGTTATCTCATGCTGTATTATACACATAACCTGTCTTTTCTTCCCAAAGGGGATGTGAGAAAACTTTAAAAAACACACCAAAAAAAATCTCCAACCCCATAAAATGAATGTGTCCACATGCTTTGCTACAAGAAAGGAACTTGCCCGCATCCCCACTGGCTTGGATAGGATAAAAAAAAGATACCAAGAGAGAGCCTGGAGCTGCGTGCCAGGGCTGTGCCAGGCTGCTGCACCTGCAGGGGCACCTCTGCCTCCACCCTGGAGGAGCTCAGGCTCTCCCAGCTCCCAAACCCAGCATCAGGGCAAACCAGGGGGAGCGCCCGGGCTGAGCGAGGGTGCCCTGGGCGGGCAGGGGGCTCACCTTGGAGGAGACGATCCTGTTGTCACAGAACTTCTGCGCCACGTACGCCTCGGTGTCCGCCACGGGCCGGTGCCCGACCAGCACGGTGCGCGTGCCCACCCGCTTCTCCTCCCCAGCACACTGTGGGCAACAAAGAGAGACAGCTGTGAGCCTCAAAGAACCCAAATATCTGGGTAAAACCAGCTTCTGCTCCCCAGCACACTGCGGGCAAAGAGAGAGCTGTGAGCCCCAAATATCTGGGTAAAACCAGCTTCTGCTCCCCAGCACAATGCAGGGCAAAGAGAGACAGCTGTGAGCCCCAAACATCTGCATTCACAGCTTCTCCAACCCAGCACACCGTGGGCAGCAAAGGGAAAGAGCTGTGAGCCCCAAAGAACCCAAACATCTGCATTCACAGGTTCCAGCTCCTCAGCACACTGCACTGCTCACTGGAAATAAGGCAGCTGAACTCAGAAATTCACCTCACTGCCCCAGCCAAAGCACAGAGGATGAAGAAGAGTAAGGTCATTTACCAAAACCAAGGACGTGCTGAGCCTGGAACACAGCTCTGCTCAGGCATCAGCTCAGGAGCACAGCCCACCCCACGCCCCACCAGGACAGGTCACTGCACTGCTGCCCTGTGCAGGACAGCTGCTGCCTGCATCTGCAGCCTGTGCCAGGTTGTTTTTCCCTCTTGAAGGAGAACGTGTCTTTATCAAGCACTTCAAGGCATTAGGAACATAATTTAGCATCTGTGCATCTCTCCCTAGTCCCGACCTGGAGAATCCTTCGGCTCTGGGTTTATTCACTGCATGAGGAAGATGCCAACTGCACCCTCCCTTACACTCACTCTTCTGCCCAACCCTCAAACCCCTGCAGGATGTCTCACCACCACACTGGCACACACAGATTTAGTGCTCAGCTCAAAAACCAGAAGGGTCTGCTTCTGCTATTTAAAAACCTCAGCTAAAATCATGAACGATGAAGCAGACAGCTTCACAGCACAAACTCCCCGAGATGACACACGCGGCGCTGGGAAGCCAGCTGGGCCTGCTGGGGGTTTAATTTAAAGCAGAATGAGATGTCACAAGTGACTGTCAGCCTCTCGTCATGGGGGCTGCTGACAGCCCCAGTGCTCAGCAGCAGGACGAGGGAGCTGCAGCACAACAACCTCGGCAGGGAACAGGGCTGCCTGCAGGAGAACACAGCCCTGCACACAGCCAAAAACACCTGGGAGCAGCACGGGGCTCAGCAGAGCCCAGCCACCCCAGGGGAGGTGACAGCACCTGCACAGCACAGACAGACCCCCTGGCCAAAGAGGGGATGTTAACACATAGTGAACACAGTACCTGAATGCACCAAAAGCACCGGAGCTCCTTTATTTCAGTGTAACCCTTCAGCGTTTCCAACTTCCGTAACTTCTTTTAAAGCCTTTCCCAGCCCGTGACAAAGGCGAGGCCAGGCAGGTCCCTGCAGCTCTCAGGGGCTGAGCAGCACCCTGGGCTCCGGCCCCATCGGCCTCCGGCTCCGGCCAGCCCAGCACACCCAAGTTCCTCACTGAACCAAAAACTTTATTTTCAAAAACAACAGAACTGTGCAATAGTTTAAAAATCAGCTTTTCATTCTGTCCAGGTTCCCCCTTTCATTTAACAGCGTCCTTGCCACAGATGCTCACAGCCAAGGAGAAGACCTGGTGGGCACCACAAAGCACTTCATGACGCTGAACTTAAAATTACACAGTGAATTTAAAATACCCACAAAGAGCAAATGGGGGAAGAGGGGTGAGGGGGAAGGAGTGGTGTTAGACCAGGGTAAGATTTCCTTAGAGGTCAGTTTTCAAGTTTTAAAACATGAACGGGGAAGACATTTGTCAGTCTACGGCTCGAGGGCACTATCAGGCAGCAGGGCTGCTGAAACACCAGCAGACAGTTCATACTCCACTTTGCCACACCAATCCTCAACCCCACACCTGCTTACACTGAACCCCCCCCGAGCAGGTGCCAGAACTGCCCAATGCCTGTCCCAAGCCAGCTGCCAGCACGGGCTCAGCCTCTGCAGATGGATGTGCCGGAGTGCCCTGGATCCAGCCCAGCATCCCTCATCCACAGGGCTCATCACAGGCACTTGGAAAGGTGCAAACAAAGCCCAGCCAGAGAAAAGGTGCTCTGGACAAAAACATGCCAAGACAAAAGGCTTGGGACTAACTGCTGCTTGGGGAAAGGGTCAAACCCAAAAATTTAAACAGTTAAAACCAGTGGACCTGGACCAGCAACAACTGAATGGATCCTGCTGCACCAGGAGCAGGATCTGCCCAAAGGAAGCAGCAGCTCTTCCCTGCCTCTGCTTCCCACCCATGCCTGCACACCTGTAACTGAAGAAGCATTTTTACACCATGCCTGTACCTGGGGAGGGGTGCTGACACCACAGCCATGCTCACAGCTCCAGGGGCTGATGCTCAGAGCAGGAGGATCCTCGTGCCCCACACGATGTCCCTGCACCCTGACAGAGCCAGCAGCGACCACCTCCACCCCAGCAGTGACCACCTTCACCCCAGCAGTGACCAGCTCCACCAGCCCCCAAAGCGGGCAGGGCTGGCACACAGCTTCAAACTGGGGGATGCCACCGTGCCCAGCCACACCAGCAGCAAACTGCACCTCTTCAAAGCACAAACCAGACCCACAAAGGCTCCCTGATGTACCTGCTGCACTGTGGAGGTGCCAGCCACGGTGTGCCCAAGCTGAGCCCCAGGAGCGGGAGGCACAGCCATCCATCCACGCCACAGCAGCGCCAGGCAGCTGAGACAGACAGACGTCCCCACGCTGGTCCCACCGTGTGCCCGAGCAGGCTCTGGAGCCAGGCGTGCCTGCTGAGCATCCCTGCAGCTCAGGGAGGAAGGAACAGCTTCCCCTGCCCGCTGGCACGGCGCTGGGGAGGAGCAGGGTCAGGGTCTGCCACTCTCACCCTGGCACGGAACCAGCGAGCTCTGCTTAAGGCACTGCTGGGACAGTGTTCACAAGGATCCCCAAAGTGTTCACAAGGATCCCCAGAAGTGTTCACAAGGATTCCCCAAAAGTGTTCACTATGATCCCCAAAAGTGTTCACTAGGATCCCCCAAAAGTGTTCACTAGGATCCCCAAAGTGTTCACTAGGATCCCCAGAAGTGTTCACAAGGATCCCCAAAAGCGTTCACAAGGATCCCCAAAAGCGTTCACAAGGATTCCCCAAAAGCGTTCACTACGATCCCCCAAAAGCGTTCACTACGATCCCCAAAAGCGTTCACTACGATCCCCAAAAGCGTTCACAAGGATCCCCAAAAGCGTTCACAAGGATTCCCCAAAAGCGTTCACGAGGATCCCCAAAAGCGTTCACGAGGATTTCCTGCCTACCCATGGAGAGCATGGTGCATGTGAAGCCTCAGAGCAGAGGAGAACCCAGATCCAGGCGTGGTGTGTGGGCTGACCAAGCCACACGAGTTCAGGACCAGCTCCCAGGGGGGATCTCACCCTCCTATCCCCTGTTGTTCACCTGCAGCCTCACCTCACACCGAGTGCAATGCCAGGGTGACAGGGGCACTGTAACCCCATGGTGCATGCCAGCCCTCCCACCACTCACAGCATTCCATCCCCATTCCTGATTCAACTCCCCAGGGCGTCACAGCTGCCCACAGCTGGAGCTGGAAGGGTCACAGCCCATCCTGCCCAGCCCCAGAGGGTGAGCACAGCCCAGGCTGCAGCAGGAGGGTGCCTGAGCTCAGAACTCGAGGCTATCACCCTTTGGAGCAGCCCAGCCCGGCCCTCGTGGGTCGTTAATGGATTGCTACGTCTTAATAACAGCTCTCAACAGGGACTTAGAGGCAGATTTAGGGAATAACTGCCAGGCTTTTGGGAAAATTATAAAATATGCAGATTAGCACGGAGAGGATTTACACGACTTTTTCCGACCGCCTTTCATGAAAAAATATTAATTCTGATGGCAAAAAAAAAAAAAAAAATGAAAATATTACTTGGATGCAAATCAAGCAGCTGCCTTGCTGCCTGGTGGGGCTCTACACAGCCCAGAGTTCACAGTGCTGGAGTGAGCTGGTGCAGGCAAAAGCCAGAGTTTCTCCTGCTGTTTACAGCCGAGCCTGCCAAAAGGATTATTCAAGAAAATAAACAATTGCATTCCCTTCCTAGGCACTTTCTCACCTCCCTGGGCCAGAGGTGTTGGTGTGAGCACTGGGGGAAGCAGAGCTGTCTGTAGGGATCAGCAGTGGGGACAGAGCCAGGGAAGGCACCCTGTGTTCCCCACCAAGCCTGGGGGACGTGGGGATGCAGAGGGCGACCACAGAGCCACCTCACCTGCAGAGGGTGACCACAGAGCCACTGCTGTACCTGTCCCTGTACCAGAGGAGCTCCCTGCAGCTGGCAGGGATCACAGCAGCACCAGGAACTGCAGGGAGGGAGGGAAGGAGGCATTTGTGAGCAGGGCCACCATCCTGTCCGCACCCCCTGAGGACCAGCCCCAAAGATGCAGATGCAGGAGTCTCCTGCAATGCTCCAGCCCCAAAGATGCAGATGCAGGAGTCTCCTGCAATGCTCCAGCCCCAAAGATGCAGATGCAGGAGTCTCCTGCAATGCTCCAAGCTCCAAAGATGCAGATGCAGGAGTCTCCTGCAATGCTCCAAGCTCCAGTCCAGAGCTCCCGTCCCACTGCCCTGGTGCCTCACCAAGCCTAACCAGCGAGTCAATCCCTCAGCAGGGCATCCAAACCAGATTTCTCCTGAAGGAGCTCAGCAGCCCCCAAATTCTCCACCTCAGTTTGGGCACCTGTCCCTTTGTGCCCTTCTCCCCTTCTCCATGTGTGCCCCCTCCCACAGCAATGTCCCTGCCCAGCACAACCTCCCACCTGCCCTGGGGAGAGACCCCTCCCCACTTTCTGGGAATCCACCAATCCAGCACCACGCACAGCACCCAGATGGCACCGGATAAAAGCTGCAAGCCTGGGTAAAAATTAGCAAGCCTGGGTAAAAATTAATGGAGTTAGGCCGAGTCCAACAGGAGAGGTGAACCCGTGCCCTGCAGGCCCTGCTGACAAGGAGCCACCTCAACACGACTATTTCTAGGGCAGCTGCAAACAGAGCCTTTAATTATATCCCCCAT